TCTGATATGCTTCACTGTAATTCTGATTTTATTTAACTAAATACTCACTAGAATTAATATGTAGATCAATTTATAGGCTGGGATATTTAATTGACAAGTCAATGATACCCAAATTATTTTGCATTTCATGATATCATAGCTCATGCTAAAGACCAAACAACTTTATTGTGGTATTTATTATGCTGTAGATGTGGGGGATGGGACCTGTTATGTATCACAGTGTGAAGAAAGAGAACTTTCCACAAGAATGCTGTTTCCAAATGTAACATAGCCTAGCACAAGCAACTAGCCCTGTTCAGCACTATGACGTAATTCAATCTGAGTCGATTTAAGCAGCCTTAAATCAAGCACAAACCATATGAGTAGTAAAGGTAAAGGTAAAGGTTCCCTTGCTCGAAAGCCAGTCGAATCCGACTCTAGGGTTGCGGTGCTCATCTCCGTTTCAAAGCCGAAGAGCCAGCACTGTCCGAAGACGTTTCCGTGGTCATGTGGCCGGCATGACTAAACACCACGGCGCACGGAACGCTGTTACCTTCCCACCGAAGTGGTACCTATATCTACTTGCAATTTCTTGCTTTCGAACTGCTAGGTTGGCAGGAGCTGGAACTAGAGACAGGAGCTCTCCCTGTCTTGCGGCACCCGGGTCTTGGACTGCTGAACTACTGACCTTCCAGAGCCTGCAGTTCAGCGTAGTCCAGGTTAAAACAGTACAGTTTGTGTGTGTTTTTTTATTTAATACAGTTCTTTCCCACACTGCCTTTGATTTGTGGACAGGTTACAGTCTAGCATCTTATTTGATCCTACTTTTGTAATAGATCTGGCTGAAATGCCAGTGCTAAGAAATATATTGGAAGGAATCCTTATGTAAATGTGTGTGGGATCACAGTCTTGAGAAACAGTAACTTGCCCAGTAACATCTACTGATTGCCACTGGCTGAACAGAAGTTTTAACCTGGTCTCATTTCCAACCCTAGCACCCCACCCACTGCATTACAGGAGCACCCCATGCATGGCATCCCTGTGCTAGAAAATTCTTCCTTTTGATCTTTGAGTTTGAAAACATAATACTGGGTTTATCTGTATGATTCAATTTCACAGTAAGGCAGCTTGTCATACTTCTTGCATTGTAATGGATTAGGAAACTAGGAAGTTCTTTCAGTGCCTAGCAGCAACTGGGCTGCAGGACAGAATATTGCAGCTAATTGTCTCTGTAATAAATAGTCATACCTAATTGGGTTTTACAAACACACTAACTCCAGCTGTAACACCAATGGTTTCTCCTCTGTTTCACAGCATACAATAAAACTGAAACATAAAAATATTTTAACATCTTGTAGCACTACATATCTTAGCCCAGATCAAACACTAATAGAAAAAGGGGGGAAAAGAGAAAAAGCATGTTTGTCTTAAGTGTTTAAAAAGTGTATAGGGGGCTTTATGTATTCACCTATTTGTGATTCACAGCGGTTTATAGCAAACACAATAATAAAACACAATAATAAATCTTGCAATTACAGTTACACATTATGATAAATAAAACAGAAAAACAGTATCTCAGCAGAGAGAAAACTGTTCAGATAAAAATCTGTAAACCATGCTCATATTCCAAATGGTTAGCCTTTTAATCAGTGGATTTGTTATTCCTGCCATCAAGTTTCCATTGTAAGTTGAATTGCCAGTATAGCGTTTGGCATCTGTAAAATTTTTTACTGAGAGTGTGGAGTCTATATACAGAGTTTTTATAACTATATGGAAAACAAAAAAGATGGTGCATTTTTAGTCTTGTTGGTGCTCACAGTCCCTTTTGTTAAGGGATAGATTAGTTGGAATGAAACACTAGAAGTTCATTCAGCCTCTGAAGAACATTAAAAATGCATCAGTCAAAAATCCCAGGTGCACAAAATGGTATGGGCTTATTGAGAGTTTTTTCATACATTCATATCCTGGTTTCATCGGGGTGGATCCAGACAATATTTTCTGCTCATGGAAATTCAGTAGAACAGAATTTTCCTGCCTCCCCCTCCCACACCAGCTCACTGATCTCCCCAAGATGTTGCTTCTGGGAGACAGAGGAGCCTCAAGAACAACATAAGCAGCCAATCAGGGGTCTGCAGCTGGAACAGGGACTTAATGGAAATCCCCCTTCCCCTTCTGTTAGTGGAAAATTTAGTCTGGATTCAACTCATTCTATTTTTGAGGTAACATAAAATCCAGAATTATGCAACAATCTGAGTAAAAAACTAAATAAAACAGATAATATTAGAACAGTATTACTGAAAACATACAGTATCCTGCTGTGCATACATGGGATGCTGAAATTCCTGCTTTCTGCAGACTCTTCTAACCTCCCACCTGAAACTACCCATGCAGAATACAGAGCAGGGTGCTGCAGGGAGGGGAGAGAATGAGGTGAAATTGCTCTGCCTCTTCTGTAAATGCAATTCTATTGACAGAAGAGAGAGGCATAATGATTTCTTTCTGCCTGATCCTTACAGTACCCCAATCTGCACACTTATTCATCAGTACAGGTCCCATGACTTCAGGCATGAAATTTCTGTAGATCATAAGGGGCTGCCAGAAGTTAGCAGAGCATGAGAGAGAATTGAACTAGGTCACACAGGGCATGAATATCACTAGGTAGAGAGCTGAGGCTCTAGCTGAGGGCAGCCAGACATCTTTTGGGCCTGGGATCACCAATAGTTTCCTGTGAAAACGTGGCTGGATACAGCCCCACCCACTTAAAACACAGAAATATTCCTGTGTGTATATATAGGCCACCAAGTCGCAGCCAACTCCTGGCAACACTAGCAAGAGGCTTTCAAAGCAAGTGACAAGCAGAGGTGGTTTTCTATTGCCTTCCTCTGCAGAGTCTACCTTGGTGGTATTGACCCTGCTTAGCTTCCAAGATTTAATGAGAGTAGGCTATAACACACTGTCTTCCTTCCCACAGAAAATATTACCATCCAGTAAGTGATTATTGTAGCAGCCCTAATAGCCCAGACTTGCCTAATTTTGTTAGAGCAGGGTCAGTACTTGGATGGGAAGTCACCAAGGAAGATTTTGCAAATGTAGGCAATAACAAAACACCTCTGCTTACTCACTTCACTTGAAAACCCATGAGATGGAACTTCATGTGGTCAACATGAGTTAGTTGTGATTCAAGGGCATGCTTTAGCTTAGATATCCATTATGTGGACCAGCTACATTCCATCTAGTAATCACAGGGATAAGACCAGCTAGTTAGGGAAATTGACATTTTCTCAGTGATCAGTTGCACTTTTGGAAAAATTGTGATATCTTTCCAACAGAACTTACCTTAAGGAAAGTTATTTGGATTGTACACAACAGATGAATTACAACCATTCACTCATTTCAAAGAGAATTATTATTTCAAGTAGCGATATTCCCTTAAATTAAAAAAAAGTGAGGAACCTAGCATATTCTGCCTTTGAGCTGTAGGTTCAATGATGATGATAGGAAAAACGAATGGCAGCTGACAGCAAAGATAGATGCTGAGTGCAGTGGTGTGTGCTCGGTATATACTGAGCCAAATAAATACCTGAAAAATACCTTATCAGGTTTTTTGGGTTTTTATTCAACCAAAAAAGATCAGAAATCAGATCTGTATTCGGCTACCAAAATAGCAGCACCCAAATAAAAGCCAATATTATTTGGCTTTTATTCAGGCATGGCTAGGATAACGACAGTCTCTTTAAATGCCTTCTGAGTTCACACCACCACAGCGGCGCAACTTAGTGAGTGAACTCAGAAGGGATTTAAACTTTAAATGCTTGTTGAGTTCACTCACAGAATCGCGCTGTTGTGGCATGACTCGGTGAGTGAACTCAGCAAACATTTAAGATTTAAATCCCTTCTACATTATACCTTATGGGGATGGTTCACATAGTGTATAAATGAGCCAAATAAATTCAGATTTCCACAATATTTACCTGAATCTCAATACAAAACTGATATTGGTATTCGGGAATACTGATATTTTTTGGGTTCAATAGACCTGTATAGGAAAAAATGATATATATTTTTTTTGGCATACACCTAGCTGAGGGTGAGGCTCAATGTACAGATTTATGATAATGGATAGCTCTCTTGTCTCTGGCAATGTTCTAGTTTGTAATTTAAATTAAGAATACTACAAATTTATGTGCTGATCTGTATTCTTCATAGTCTGCATTCCTCAGACTAACCAAAGAAGAGACAGCTGCTCTGCTTGTACATGCTTATTAATTATTGACATGACTTGAACTTTAAAACAGAAGTGTAATTTACAAAGTAGTACCCTGGTTTCATGACTCAAGCAATTAATTGACCTGGTATTTTCTAAGATAGGAAAAAAATTGTATACAATAAAGGGAAGGATAATATGAAAACAGTCTTTAAAAAACCCAAAATGATAGGGGAAACGAAATCATCCTGTGGTTGCCTAGGCAGCATGCTACTTTCCATACCCTGCCCTTACAGTTCTCAGCAAGCCATCTTAAAATTCTCAGGAGAAAAAAGCAAGCCCTCCAGAACATTCACAATTTCTGTTCATAACTGGCAATCAATCATAATTCAATGGAAATTCAGTTATCACTAGTCTTTGAAAGTCCCTCTTTCACCATATTTCTTAATTACATTAGATAGATAGATAGATAGATAGATAGATAGACAGACAGACAGACAGACAGACAGACAGACAGACAGACAGACAAAATTACGCAGAACACATACAATTCTATTACATTTTTCATAACTTTGTTATCCATTTATCTTTATGGCTGCAATCAACACTGAATTTACATTATACAGAATAAATATCAATTTTTTTAAAAAGGGGGGGACTAAATGCATGTATTTTAAAACTGTGGTTGTGTAGTAGTAGATTCCATTTAGAATGTGCTGAATGTTTCCAGTGTATACATATTTTTGCTATAATTGGCATAGTAACTCAGGTGTAAATTTAGAAGTAAAATCTTATGTCTGCTTATTCTTCTATATAGTGTCTCTTCTTGCAGTGAAAACAGAGCCTATGAACAACAATGAAACAACAACAACAAGTGGAGATGGATCTCTTGACACATTTACTGGGTCAGGTAAAGCCATAGTATGCTCATGATACTGTATTAATAGTTTGTGGGAGTATTTGAGAGTATCTGTAATGGTTTGTGTCAGCAATCGTTTATAAAAGCAAACATTGGCATTGGAAGGTGCTGACAGTCACAGATCTTTCCAGTGTTCCCCTCCCCTGAGCAGTCCTTTCAAACTTCAGGACATTGTATTCTGGAGTTCAAGGGACCAATATTAATTAATAGCCATGCAGATTGGGAGACAGTGTAGTGGGAGGAGGAAGGGGACCAAAACACCCCTTCTCCTCCTTCCATTAGCACAGCTTCATAGATAGAAGAGGAGGAAGGGGGAAATTTCACCATTTCACAACTGCAGTGTCCATTGTTTATTACATCAAACAAACAGTATCAGGACAGTTAAAATACAGCACTGGCTCTTCGGCTTGGAAACGGAGATCAGCACCACACCCTAGAGTCGGATTCGGCTGGCTTTCGAGCAAGGAAAACCTTTACCTTTACTTACTAATATAATTAATGTGGGATTAAAACTGTTATAAATTTAATTGTGGCACATACTTCAGTGAGAGTACTACTGTAAATTGTTGGAGCAGACACAGAGTGTTTTCATTATTTATACTGCATTACTACAATTTATAGTAAGGTTGATCTCAGGGCTTTAATTCTAAGAATGTCTAAGATTCCTATTAACTTATATTTTGAGAAAGCCTTGACTGTGAGGCCTGTATTTGTAATATTGTGATGCAGGATATTTAACAAAGAGCAGAAAGAAGAGATTGGGGCACCCAGTCAGAAAATGAGAAGTACCTTACACTGTTATATCAGGAACCCTGATAATAATAAGAATCAACTAATTAACCACTATTATATGAGAAAACATCATATTAAAAGACAGTATACAAACTTTGTTTTGAGAGAATGGAAACTGATCCCAAATAAGTAAAGCTGGAAAACATAGTTGTCAGAAGAATGGTTTAGGGTGGGTTACTTCTGCTGATTTTCTGCCCAGATTTCTGTAATTTGGTTTACTGCCTTCCATGTAGCCATCCACTGCATTAATTAGATTAACACTTTTTCGTGAGAACCTTTGTTCTCCATCTCCAGACCGTATTGTGTAGCCTATGTGGTTTATTACACACCAGCAGTGATTAAGGGGATTGTGAACCAGGCGGAGGCTACTCCTACTCCTCTTATCATACAATAACCTTCATTTTATAACGGAAAAAGTTACACTAAGTTGTTTTCTGCATGTGGTGAAATGTTTCCATGCAACAAATGGCTGTAGTAGGAATATATTCTTGCAATCAGATCTCCTAGTAAAAAAAGAAGAGCAAAGCGTCCAATAGCATGTGACAAAACAACCATTGCCTGTGTTTATAAAGAGAGCTGTCTTTCTTTACAAAAAGTGTGATTATTCTTCAAAACAAAATTAAATACAAAACAGTTTTAGAGCTCTTATGGCCCTGCCTTCTGTAGTTAGGTTGCATTTGAATTGAATTGTTTCTTTAGAAATGAATGGACATTCAAAAATGGTTGCTAATGCCAACTTGCTGTGCAAATAATCTCATCCTAACATTAAAAATGTCATTAATGTATCACGGGTATAAGAGAAGTGTGAATGGGTGGGTGTGCCTGTGATACATTAATGACATTTTAATTGTCTGGACACATAATAAAGAAGACCGGGACATATTCCACCAAGCATTCAATGGTTTTACAGCATCTACCTGACAATGAACCAATATATGCAAGAAATACATTTCCTGAACACTACTGTAAAAATACACAATGGATGCATAGACACCACCTTATACCGGAAACCTACTAACAAACATGCCTCCATGCCTCCATCCACCATCCTAAACATACCAAATGATCCATTGTATACAGCTAGGCTGTACGCTACAGCCACATATGCTCCAATCCTGCAGACAGAGATTCTCATCTGAGGGCTCTACAACAAACCATTTTGGAACTAAAGTATCCACCTGATTAAGTCAAGAAACAGATTAACAAAGCCAGAATGGTACCCAGAGAAAACCTGTTACAAGACAGGCCCAAAAGAGACAATAACAGAACACCAATAGTGGTCACATAGAGCTGTCAACAAAAACAGTTCAATGCATCATCAGTGACTTACAACCTCTACTGGATATTGGCAGTTCTCTTTCACAATTGGGGGGGGGGCTCTGTTTCCTGTTAGTTAACCAGTTTTCAGTCCATAAGAGGATCCCATGACTGCTGAGTTTACTTAGGAGGCTTTGATGAGGAACTTTATCAAAAACTTCCTATAAGTCTAGGTAAACAACATGTGTTTGGTCACCCTTGTCCACATGCTTGTTCACCCCCTCAAAGAACTTAGTTTAGTAAGACAAGATCTTCCCTTACAGAATCCATGCTGATTCTTCCTCAGTAGTTTTTGGTCATCAATGTGCTTACTAATTCTGTCTTTAATAATGGATTCCACCAACTTACCCGGTATCGACGTCAGACTGACCAGCCTGTAATTTCCCAGATCTCCTCTGGAACCCTTTTTAAAGATGGGGTAGTTACATTAGCTACCTTCCAGTCCTCAGGAATGAAGGTAGATTACTTATAGTTTGTGTCACGACTTATAGTTTGTGTTGGCCAAGAATCAAAATGCTGTGAAGTTACAATATACCCTTGCCATGCACAGATTCACAACTCACAGTTTCACTTATTCATAGTCCAAGGCCCAACCACATGATATGGCTAGCTTTGAGTACAACCCCCCCCCCCCCGGTACATTCAGTCAATGTGCAGAAAGGCTCTATCTCCTGCCTTCTCATAATAATCTCATCTCTGTGAACTGCCATCAGATTACTTTTGTGGCCCTGTCCTAATGCTGGCTGTGGCCCATATGACTTGTAGAGTCCCTGCAGCCACCAAGCCTGGATGACTGGTCTGATGGCAGCTGCTGCTGCACAACTTCTCTGGTGAGTGCTGCATTTGACAGTGGTAGCCACTGCTGCTTTACATCTGGGCTTGGTGGTGGCAGCTGCTCCTGCATGACTCATCTGGGCCTAATCCTACTGCCGGGCCAGTGACTCATTTCTGATAGCAGTGGCCCTCTCACATGCCTGTCTGGCCAGCCCAGTGGCTGCAGTCAAGACAGGAGCCACATACAATTCACCTTGGCTGGGCTTCCTTCAGTCAGTGGGAGGTGGTAGGGGATGGGACAGGGAAGAGGATGGAGCCTTTTCCCGGCCATTTTGGTCTTTCAGTCCATCCCTGTTAGTATTCACAGATTTTTCCATTTCTTGTGATCTCAGAAATGGACCCCTGACAATGGTGAGGGCATGATGTACGGGCTTGGCCAATGAGTTGAAGCAGCTGCTTGAATCTTAGTTGCTGTATTATGTGAAGTTAGCTGTTCGGTTTTTTTTAAAAACCCAAGAATTCTATTATATTGATAAGGTATTTATTAAAGTCAATCATAGACATCTCCGAACTGAGATCAAGTTGTTCTTGTTGTTGTTGTTGAAAAAATAAATGGTTCTCTTTATTAGGCAAGCATGTGGAAATTAACCCTATAACTACAATAAAGACAAATCTTAAACTTATCAGAATTCTTAACATTCCTCATATTTCTTAATCATATTATAATAAGTAATAATAAGTAATATTCTAAAATAAACCAGGTTACTGGTTATTGTCTCATACTGCTTATATGGATTTCACATGAAATCAATGCATTAATTCTTTGGATTTTGTTGAAAGCAGGGGTCATTTCATAGAAAAAGAGCTAGGGGAACTCATTAGCATAACTCATTAGCATATGCCACACCCCCTGACATCAGGGGCCCGGCAGTGGACCTGCAAGGCCAGCGGGAGTGCGAGGAAGCCCCGCCAAGGCCCTCCCTGGCCCCAGGCAGGCAGGGGTGGGGAGAGGCGGGGAGGAAGCAACTTACCCTCCCTCTTCTTCTGCCTCCTCCTGGCTGAATGAGGGCTGGAAGCGGGGCTGCCGGAAGCAGGGGGCGGGGCTTCATCATGTGCCCCGCCCCCTGCACCTCACCCGGGGGAACTGCATTCCCCCGCGTTCCCCCCCGAAATGACCTCTGGTTGAAAGTACATTTCACAAAATGTTGAAGAAATGCTAGCCTGAAAAATCCCTGTAGGTGATTTGTTACGTAGTTTAATTGTGGAGGCTGATTGCTAGTACCATAATAGCATAATGAAGAAAAGTTTACTTTGAAGTAGGAGTGTGCAAAAAAAAATCATTATTTTTCACATTCTGGTATATTGACCCTGAAAAATATCAGTGGTTTCTGATATTCCCAGATTCCAATACCAGTATGGTATTTTGATTCGGGATTTTTTTTGGAAATCCCTAATTTTTTTCAGATCCATTATAACCTTATGGGGACTATTATAGCCAATGGTCCCCACGGAGTATAATGGAGAATTGATCCGGGGGAATCTGGGCCTCGGGGGCTGTTTTTTGAGGTAGAGGCACCAAATCTGCAGCATAGCTGCTGGTGCCTCTCCTCACCCCCCCCAAGTTTCAAAAAGAGTGGACCAGGGGGTCCAATTCTATGGGTCCCCAAAGTAGGTGTCCCCATCCTCCATTGGTTTCAATGTAGGGGGAAAGGGTGTTTAAAGGGGTTGTGGTCTCTTTAAATGCCTTCTCCAAGCCACAATTTCGCAAGTGAACTCTGAAGGTGTTTAAAGGGCTCGCGGTCCCTTTAAACACCTTCTCCAAGTGGCAAGTTCATCTGAAAGGCATTTAAAGGGACTGCAATCTCTTTAAACACTCTTTAACTTTAACTATCCAGTGGTCTCAAAAAATTCCAGATATTTTTAGGATTTTCGGGGCTTGGCCATTTTGGATAGCTGAAAAATAGCCAGATCTGTATCTGGCTGAAAGAATACCCGGAAAATACTGATAAGGTATTTTTTCAGATATTTTTCCAGTTTGGATTTAGCTGAATGCACACCCCTACTTTGAAGTAAAAGTATGACTGGTTAGACTAAAGAAATTCCACTGC